TAAATGTTGGGTATTGGAGTGAATCGGCAAGTTGAAGATATTGGGTAGGATCGGGATGCGTATAAAGAGATTTAGGGTCGGGTTGTAGTTTGTGAAGCAAGGGGGTTTTAACCGGTTTGCGAGTTAGCATATCAAGTTGTTGTAGGAGGGAGGTAATGTAGGGAGTTTGAGAAAGATGATAACCATAAGGAGTGGTTTGAACAATGATGCCAAGAAACATGTTAACCAAACTCTAGACTTTGATTTTGAATGTAGTTTAGAGATCAAGGATAAGTTTATTGATGGCATTTTGATCATTACCTATTATAAGGGCGTCGTCAACATAGATAAGAAAGTAGAGAGTAACTGAAGAGTTCTTGTAGATGATGAAGGATGGATCGACGGTGCTGATGTGAAACTATTGTTCTTTGAGGTGAGTGATGAGGGTATGATACCAATGGCGTGGCACTTATTTGAGGCCGTAGAGAGCCTTTTTTAGTAAGCATACTTTATGGGGTACTCTTTGATCACGAAATCCTTGAGGTTGGGACATGTAGATGGTTTCTTCCAATAATCCATGGAGGAAGGAATTAGCGACATCAAGTTGGAGTATTTGCCAATTGTTTTGAAGAGCCATGGTGTGAAGCATACAGATAGTGGGCAGCTTGGCGACGAGGCTGAATGTAGCGAAGTAGTCTAGGCCTTCTTTTGTTTGAAGACTTTCGCAACGAGACGAGCTTTGTAATTGGTTATCGTTCCATTTGAATTGTATTTAGTTCAATAGGTCCATTTGTAGCTGATGATGTTTTGGTGGGGTGGGAGATCTACAAAGATCCAAGTGTCTTGTTCATGTAAAGCTTGAAATTCTAAAGACATATCTTGCCTCTAATAACTATGTTTGAAGGCTCTAGCATAAAAGGTAGAATCAACATTATTGGAGATAGAGGTGGTAAGGTAGAGTATTTGCTTGGGCTTGAGTGACCTATTTTTGGATCAGGTTGTCATGGAATGCACAGAAGTGGTTGGGGGATTGGTTTGGTGGGAGGTGGTAGAGTAGGTTCGGGTTGACAGTTTGCGGAGGGTATGGAAGAAGAGGGAGGAAGAGCAAGTATCAGTATGTATGCACTTGATGTGGGTCGTGTAGTTGTTGAGGGAAGTGTGGATGTTAAAGTGAGAAGAGGAATTATGGAAGGAGAGATGTCTGATGGTGGAAAGCGAGAGTTGATGGTTTGAAAGGGAGAAAATTGTTCATTAAAGACAACATGGCGAGAGAAAATGATAAGATGAGTTTGTGGGTTGTAGCAAATATCACCTTTGTGAGAAGGAGACTATCCAATGAAGATACACGGTGGAGTTGTGGGAGAAAGTTTGTTTGGGGCTAGTGGTTTTTGTTAGGGAAAACATAGGCAACTGAAAATTCTTAGATGAGAGTAGGTGGGAGTTGAGCTATAGAGAAGTTCGTGCGGGGACTTTAGGGAGGTAATTTTGGAAGGCATGCAATTAATGAGATAAATGTTCGTCATGAGCACGGTCGTCCAAAATTTGAGTGGTAGGTGAGATGTTAATAGAAGAGTTTGAGTGGTTTCAATAAGGTGTCGGTGCTTATGCTCAACGACTCCATTTTGATGGGGTTTGTAGACAACTGAATTGATGAATAATGCCATGATTTGGGGATAGTTGTGTAGATGGTGTGATATGAATTCTCCCCCTCCATCTGTACGTAAGATTTTGATGTTGTTATTAAATTGATTTTGAATCATTTTATGAAATGAAATGAGTTTATTTGTGGTTTTAAATTTTGCAAATATAGGAAACACTCAAATATAACGAGAATAATCATCAACAAGAAGAAAATAATATTTATAACCTTGAATGGACATAATAAGAGCATATCTCCAAACGTCAGCATGACAAGTTCGGCCACACATTTGGTTTTGGAGTTATAAAGAGGAAAATATTGTCTATGACTTTGTGAAGAGCTACATTCATTGCATAAAAAGAAAGAAGTAGGAATATTAGTAGTAGCAGTTTTGGAGATGGCTTTGATAGTAGCGAGATGAGGATGACTGAGTTGGAAGTGCCAGCTGGCAATAGAGGATGACGAGGTGTTGGGCGCAAAGAAAGTAGAGAAGGGATAGAGACCTCCCTTGCTGGGTCCTTGAAGCTGGTTTATCTTTCGATCCTTGATGATAAAATCATATTTGTTAAAAATAATATCACAATTATTATTCGATGTGAGTTGATGTACGGAGAGAAGATTGTGAGTTAGGTGCTGTGAATGGAGGAGTTGAAAGAGTTGAAGTTTATGTCGGGGTGTGGGGTAAGATATCTTTGCCTGAATGAGTAATGGGGAACCATTGTTAATGGTAATGGAATTGGAACCGGAATATGGTGTGGCAAGTTGAAGCTGCTAAATATTGAATGTGAGGTGGGAAGTTGTACCATTATCAAGCAACTGTTCATTGGTTATTGTATTGGTAGATGTGAGGAGAGCGGCATCAGTTTTTGTCGATGGATACATGGAGAAATTGGAGCGATGCCAGCAAGTAATGGCAGCATGTCCCTATTTTCCACAAGCCGAGAGTTGTCGAGGCTGTGTTCGCCTCTGACAGAGGAGAAGTTGCGTGCACTGGCAGTACCTCAAACGAATGGAGATGGCTTTCCTCGACAGCGAGTAGCAGCATTGTTACTAGATAGGGATGAGCACAATGCAACAACATTAAGGTTTGATTCATTGGCAATTTCATCATAAATATTGGTTTATTCATTGCAGAGCAAGGAATAGAGATCATCGAGCTTGATTGGTTTAGGTTGCGTGTGGATACTTGTTTTGAAGGATTGGTAGGAGGTTGGTAATTTGTTGAGGGTGTGTAGAATGATGTCTTCAGGATCAATGTGTCCACCAGTAGCAGCAATATTATCAACCAATGATTTAATTTGAAGAAGGTATTGAGTCGTTAAATGATCTTTCATAGAAATGTGACGGAGTTTGTTCCTTAGTTGGATAACACGTGATCTATTGGTTGATTTGAAACGACTGATGAGGATTGCCTAGATTTCAGAAGTAGATTCAAGATTGAGGATATAGGGGAGGATTGTGGGTGAAATAGTGGAGTATATGGCTTTTGATAAGTTTAGATCAATTAGTTGCCAAGTGAGAAATTCCATATTCTGAACAAGCTGCCATTGGAATCAGTTATTTGAGGTGGAGGAGAGGTAGTCAAACCATCCAGGAAGCTATGAAAACCATTTGCCTTGAATAGTTTGTGAATTTGGGATTTCGAAATAGGATATTTGTCAGTGGTGAGTTAAATGCGATCAAGGTTTTTAATGTTAGACATAAAAAATTTTAGAGAGAAAGGTATGGGAAGTTTGGCCATGAATGGGGTAGGAGAGTTTGAAGTTGGGTTAGTGGATGAGGAAGAAATAGACATTTGTAGGAGAAGAGAAGTGTTTATAGTGGATAAGATGGTAATCTTGCTGTAATACCATGAGAAGTTCTGCACATCAACTCCATTGAAGTAAAGCTACTGATGATGCTTACGGTACAGGAAAACAAATGAAGAATTATGCAACATAGATAATAGACATTCCATTCAATTACCATCTAAATGATAAGTGCTTGTATATATGCAGGAAGAATTTTGTGTAAGATTAAGGATCTGTATGGGGCTGCTTATTTGGTGCGGTGGCATTCTAAAAACACACCTGACCTGTTTGGGTAAACTGTGTTTTGATAGCTTATGCATTTTCAAAAAACGTTAAAAACAACGTTTTCACACCGCACCTAGATGCAGTTTTCTGGCTACAATCTGACTTTTCCAAAAAATAAAAATTTATAATGGCCACCAAACCTAACTTATGAGTAGATTAATTTTAATCAACTTATCAGCAGATTATTCAATAAGCTACAACTGACCCAAGCAAAATGTTTTCCTCGACAGCGAGTTGACACTTCAAGTGAGGCATATAATTAAAAGAGATGGAGAATCATGATATTGTAAGTAGGAGAACAACATATTCTACCATCAGAAGGTAGTTACGATAATGCTGGAAAAATGAAACAATGATTATGTAGTACAGTGCCATTGTTCATGACATCAAAATCGTGAGAATTTAAGTGCACTAAAATTCCTCTTATCATGACACTTGATCTAACAATAAATATCTTAAATTTAGAGCTCATTTGACCTTTCAATTAAAAGTCTAAAACCTTCCAAATATTCTTTAATGACTTGATCTAAACTAGATTGGAATCAAATTGCACCAATTTTCTTGTCAAGTCCATCTTATCAAAACGGTTAGTTTGACCGTAAACTTACCAAATTCGAGACCCTAACTATGCTTCAATTTGAATATAAAATATTTAATATTAAAAAATGTCTTAAGATTGATGCAAAATGATAAAATTTATTAATGCCGCATCAAATTTAACAACTGATCTTCAAAGCGGACCTCTGCGACCATTTTACAACAGCTATGCTCATCACCAACTGAAAACTAACCAAGATCAATAACGAGTACATAATCCCTGTTCATTATCAAGCAAACAATAACCAAAGGAAAAAAGCAAATCAATCATAACACAGAGCATACAATTTTACCATAAATATTTCTTGTTTCAGTTGACAATGCCGCTTATTTTTGACAATTCTAAAAAATTGTTCTTTCACAAAAGTGTTAAACATTGCAAATAGAAAGCCCATAGATGTTTAACGTGTGGGTGTGTGTGTGTTATAAATATTTGAGTCCCACACTCTACGCATGGGGGGATTCGAACCCATGACCAGAGGAGACTTACGACCTCCCGAGAGGCTGCTCTACTAACAGACTACGGTACACGCACGCACGCGCGCGCGCGCGCGCACACAGATATATATATATATATATCTAAAGACACACAACACAATTCTTATCTATGTACATAGCTAACATCTAAACTTTCATATTTACATGCATACCACTCAAATCTTTAGTATTACATAAAAAATATCACTATTACAACTTTGTGGAAATGAAATACACATTCCACGCATAAGTTTATGACAACAAAATGTTATAAATGTAAATATCAAACTTAAGGTGTTGGTCGGATATGCAAAAACATGAGAATTGTGAGATTGTCTGTAAATTTCCCATATATATATATCATAGTCTGTCAAGCATTGGGAAAAAAGCTCCATGGAATCCATAGGGCACTCGTTTGGGTAAAGTTATTTTTGCAACAGGTTCACCCTCAAAGTTTCTCGCATCAATTATGTGAACCTACAAATGACAAAACATAAGCACAGGTATTCTGGAATTACACTAAATTTAAGCACAACAAACATATGTATACAGGTTCACCAGATTGATGATTAACTATGAATTTAAATGTGGAGTTTCGTAGCCTTAATTCAATTATATATTTTCATTTAGAACCAGAAAGAAGATTGATGCGCATAAAAAAGTTCAAATGGGTTCACTAATTTATGGAAAAACTTGGCTTATGCTGAAAATGAGATGGACTCCTGCCATTCTAACATACAGATGATAAATGAAAAGTACTAAAATAGGTTCTGTAACTGTTTCTGTCATGTAACATAACATATACAAGATCAATTTTCATAACAATGTTAAGTGATCAAACATGCTGCAAATTCAATGTAAGTTTTGTAGCGGGCAGGCGCGGCGGTGGCAGTGATAGGTAAGTGGGTGAGCATCGGCGGCAGCGAGCATGAAGAAGCTCTCTTGGAACCGGACGCATCTCTCAGACTGATATATTTTTTCCTATAAATTTATATTTTACTGCTTTTGTGTTTGCTTAAAGGCCACTTTGGTATTTTTATAGTTTATTAATTACCTGTTAAGGATGGGGTGTGGTCGCCATTTGTGGATTGTTACAGAAATTCTCCTCCCCATCTCTGCTGTAGTGGACTGGCGAGGCAGGTAGTAAGGGAATATGAAATTATAGTTTTCTGATTTACAGAATTCCTTCGCGTTCCTCTCTTCTTCATGCTGCTTTGCTTGATCTTGGTTTGTTCAATTAGGTTTTGCACGAGATATCAGAGCTCAGGAAGGCAGACGGCAGAAGAACATCAGCGGCCGACAACGAGCGGAGTTGGGACTATTTGCGGGAGTCATAGTAACGCCTCGAGCGAAGGGTGGACCGACTCGCTGCTGAGATGCAACTCGTTGCCGCTGAGATTCAGCAAGAGCTCCAAATGCTTTGCAATGGAGGATCGGCAGTTCTGGCAACCACAACGATGTCATGGCACCCACACCAATGACCGAGGAGACTGCCATTGGGAATTGTAGTCGGAGGGTCACACAAACACATAGCCGGTCCCTAAGCCTGAATCGGGGCCCGAGTCGACAGAGAAAGAGGACACCAACATCGGTTGAATTTCTCCAACTCCAGATCAGATGATAACAAGCTACCCGAAGAAAATCGAAATCGCATTCGATCGGGTAGGGATCATTTTTACAGCGATTGTTAGTTGAAGTTAGATATTCCTTACTTCAACGGCCACCTTCATATGAAGATTACTTGGATTGGGAGAAGCCACGGAAACCTTCTCTGAATACACGGGCATGGATGCAGAAAAGCAAGTGTGATATGTTGCTTGTAGGCTGAAAGGTGGAGGGCTGGCAGCAAGTGATACAATCTCGCCGGAGAGAGGGAAGAAAACCCATTAAAAGCTGGGTTTGCATAAAGCAGCTTTTGCGTAATCATTTTACCTTCCGATTATGAATATATTTTGTATGTGCAAGTACAGAAATGCGTCCAAAGAAACCGATTTGTCAGTGCCTATACTGAGGAATCCCACCGTCTTAATGCCTGTAACGACCTACGTGGATCTAACCAACAAATTGTGGCTAGGGCTGTAAAAAACGGCGCATGTGCGCAAATAACTCGTGTTCGGCTCGTTAAGAAGCTCGTATTCGGCTCGTTTGCTAAGTTAAGCCGAACAAGAACAAAGATTTGTTTGTTCGTGTTCGGCTAGTTTTGGCTCGAAATACTACTCATCAATTATATATGTATACATATCTATATGTATATGTATGTATTTATATATGTATACATAAATATATTGATGAGTAGTATTTTTAAAAAATTTAATTGACTAGAAGGCTACAAAGATTTATAATCAATTAAAAGTATTAATTAAGAAAATAGAAAAAAAATCATTAATTATATTCAAATAATATTTTAATATAAACAATAATTTTTAAATCTTGCCCCAACCCTTAACATCTTATGGTTACGTGAACAGGGTTGTTAAAACGACTATTTGTTCGTGAACAGCTCGTGCTCGACTAGCTAAGCAAACGAGCCCAACACGAACACAACTTTTTAGCTCGAAATATAAACGACCTAAACACAAGCTAAGCCTGGGCTCGCTCGTGTTCAGTTCGTTTACACCCCTAATTGTGGCTCACTTTGAAGGAAGCTATACAAGACAAATTGGTGATGAATGTTATTTGGTCGCTGTCGCATGCAAGGAATTACGCCTACAAGGCCTAACTTCAGTTAAACAGGACTCAACATTCATTTAGCCATCAAAAACCAGTTGTTGACCTTCTCAGATGATGTTAAGGGACCTCCTTAGAATAATTGACCTCCCCCTGTTCCTACGCCTAACTCAGCCGCCACTTCACGTGGAGGAGATGCTATAGCCATTGGCACAACAATGCCACATAGAGATAGCTTATATTAGCAGCATGGACCCATGAAGTGTTTTTGATGTTTTCATCACGACCCTCGAGCTAATGCATGTCCAAACCAAAGACAAATTCAAGTAGCAGAAGGGGAATTGGACGGCGACGATAAATGTCCCGATCGTAATCCACTTCACGGAGTTGAAGTGGAAGAGATTCAAGCCGATGAAGGGGAAATAATAAACTGTTTTCTACAGCAGGTGCTGCTCGCCCCGAGACAACCAGTAATCCCAATGGAATGCTTTTTGAGGACCATAAACCCTGTCGAAGGTAAAGTGTGTCAATTGATTGTTGATAGTGGGTGTATTGAGAACGTGATATCTAAAACCATGGCAAAGCACTCCAACTAAAAACAATCAAGCACCCCAAACCTTTACTAAATTACCTGGATTAAAAAATGAGTTGAGGTTATGGTGATCAATTGTGTAATGTGACATTTTCTATTGGGAAGAATTTTAATTGTGAAGTCGCTTGCGACGTCATCGAGATGGATATGTGTCACTTGATTTTGAGTAAACCTTGGCAATTCAACTTGGGCATCTGGTAAGACAATTGGTCGAATGCTAAAAATTTTAAGTGGAATAACAAGAAGATTAGGTTGCTGCCTTCAGAACCATCTCCAGCCCATAGCACCGACAGTGAGTCTAGAAAATCTCCTTATTTGGTTGACTCGGGTTCACAATGGCAACCAACTTGTGACAAGCGAGTGGTGGCATAAGTGGTTTATTGGCGAAACAAAATACAACTCTGAAACAGGAGCACCCTTCAATTCAAGCCCTCATCAACTTGTTCCCAGACACCACTCCCGCTGATTTTCTTAATCGACGACCTCCCATGAGAGTCATTCAGCATCATATTGATCTAATTCCAGGATCCAACTTACCAAACCTCGCTCACTATTGCATGAGTCCCAAAAAAACACCAAAAATTTCAAGAAATTGTGGAATATCTATTACAGAAGAATTTCATCCACCACAACTTGAGTCCTTGCGAAGTACCGACATTACTCGTGCTAAAAAAAGATTGTTCTTGGAAGAAGTGTATAGACAGCCGCACCATCAACAAGATCACGGTAAAATTTCGATTTCATATGCCTCATATGGAAGATTTACTAGATAAGCCTGCAGGAGCTAACACTTTCTACAAACTGGACTTGAGAAGTGGATACCACCAAATGTGTATTCGCCTAGGTGATGAATGAAAAACAACATTCAAAACCATGGAAGAGACATATGAATGGCAAGTGATGTCATTTTGTTTGTGAAAGCGCCTGGTACTTTTAAGAGACTTGTGCATAAAGTTCTGAAGCCATTTATTAGCCAGTGTTGTGTCGTCTATTTTGATGATATTCTTGTTTATAGCAATTCTTTGGAGAAGCACTTGTCACACTTGAAGTCGTTGTTCACTACTCTGCGAGACCAAAAGCTACTTCTGAATTTAAGTGTGAATTTGCCTTGAATGAAGTTTATTTTTTAGGCTTCATTATAGGACAAGTAGGGGAGAAGGTGGATCCGAAGAAGTCAACGACTATTCAATCGTGGCCAACACCTAAGTCAATTATTAAAGTTCATAGCTTTCATGGACTTGTTAATTTTTACAGGCATTTAATATGGAATTTCAGTACTATCACTGCACATTTAACATATTGCATTAAACAAAAAAAAAATTACTTGGGGTCACAAGCAACAAGAGAGTTTTCTTAATTTAAAAAAAAATTTAAGTTCAGCTCCTATGCTTAGTATACCAGATTTTGAAAAGCCCTTTCAAATCGAAACTGATGCCTCAACAATAGGAATTAGCGCGATTCTATCAAAAGAGGAAAGACAGTGAAATTCTTTAGCAAGAAACTTAGCAAAACTCATCGAATGTGGTCTACATATGAATAGAAATTATAGGCAATCATTCATGCATTAAATTCTTAGGAACATTACTTATTATATTAAGAATTCATCCTATTTAGTGACCATCAACCCTTACAATTACTACAACCACAGAAAAATCTCAATCACATGCATGTACAATAGGTTTTGTTCCTGCAAAAATTGAGTTTTGTGGAGAAACACTGTGTCGGTCACATCAACCATGTAGTTGACGCCTTGAGTCTCCGAGCAAGCTTGTAGTTCGTTGTCCAAACTAGCATCACATTGTTGACCTCACTTTTGGTTGAGGTCTAGAAAACTTCTTTAGTAGCCTAGGTCTAGCCATAGGACTTTCCTATTGACTAGTCTTAGAAAACTAGAAAAGATACCCTCACTATCAGAAATTCAAAGCCTTTCTCTTTGCTCAACTTGAAGTTTCACATATTGATCTTAACCTCTAGCATTTAGTAGGTAAGATCATTATAAGAGAATTCAAGAAGAGTCCCTATAGGATTACTTGGCTTAAGGATTGACCCTGAGTGTTGACTTGGAACTATGGTACACCATATCTTCACAATACATTAACCCATGGTTCATTTAGAACGGATATCTATCCAATTCTATGTGAAATGCCTAACTTGGTCTTTTGCCCCTAGGCATCTCCAAATTACCTAACTGTCCTTGGGACCCAAATTTAGCTAAAAT